GCACCCCGTCGTTTTACACACAACACAACACGTAGACAACAACCCAATTAGCATGCTAACTTCTCCTCTACAGGCTCGTAGGCAGACAATCAATCCATTAAAAATACTCACGCACTTCGCTTCTTCTTCGTTTAGTCGACGTCTCCGATTTCGACTTCGACTTTGACTTTAACTGCGATTGTGGGTCCAAAACTGTTTGACTTGTCGTGAGGTGCAGCAGCAAGCTAGAAACGTGTACATTTCATTTCGACAGGCAACAATTTTTATTTTTCTTTCGTGAATACCCTGCACGCATGTCAATAGAGGGTGTGTATATATACAAAAAATAATAATAGGTATTTTAGTTGGGAAAACTACTTTAACAGGTTTTGAAATGAGAAATACCTCCAAATACTCTTCAAGTATTCGAAACTTAACCTCCATTATCAGGTTTTTAACTGAAGTATACCGTGAATTAATCTTCAATCAATCTTCATTTAGTCAAGGCCAACTTTCAGTGAAGAAAATAGATATTTGAGATGAGAAACCTACTTAAACAGATAATATTTATATTGCAATATAGCAAAAATAAGTATTTGAACGAGGTAGTTTACGAATTTCTTAATTTTCTTCAGTTTTATGAGTAGTTTCTAGAGGGTATCTTGTAGTTAAGAACCTTCAACAAAAACAGTGTATCGTAGTTTATTTTTATGGGACTATTGAGTATTGAGCTGTTGCCGTTACCATAGTAGTTTTCTCCTCAGCCATTTAGCATGGCAATCAGACAACAACTACCCAAGCCTAGTACTCCCCACCACCACTCCCCCTTAGGCAAAAGCCCGCCCACCCCTCTGGGGGAAATAATACACGCGGGTCATGCATGGCCTGCAGTTGAAATTGTCGTACACACCTCTTTGCCTTTTGTTTGCGCAGACAAACAGAGAAATATATATACGAAAAAAAAAATTCAAAAGTGCAAAACGTTTTCACTCATTTCATTTTCATGTTCGTGAAAAACCACATATGAAAAGACTGGGCAGACCAAGACGAGACACGCCCACTGTCTGTCCCCAAGAAGGGCCCGCACTCAAAGTCAAAGGCCGTTGACACAGTTTTTTTTTTTTTTTTTTTTTGTTTTTAGTGACTTGCGTGCCTTGAATCCGGACTCTGGTCAAGAGCAGACGACAGACGACACGACACATGTGGCGAGGAGATACATCTGCCAGACTTGCGGGTAGAAAGTGGAGTCGTCGCCAAGACGCATGACCAATAAATAAATTGAAATATTTACGCTTTAAGCAAAAGAATCGAACGAATAAATGAAACGAGCGAAGCGAACGAAAAAACGCGCCAACCGGTCTGGGAGTCTTTCCAAGACTCAAGACTGCATCTGAGTTTTTGTGTGTCTGTGGGTTAAAAAAAAAACCATTCCGCATCCCTATAATCGACATCAGCTGCAGCTGTGTGACCCACTCCCAGTTTGTGCAGCAGCCAGCATCGAATGCGAATTTATATTGCAAACGCGGCCAAACTGCGCCAAAAACTATCTGCGCACATTTATCGCCAGTTTTAGACAGTTTGACGGCGTCGTAGTTGCTCTAGCGCCTGCTTAGGCTAACCCAAAATAATAATGCAAAAAAAATATACATATACAACAAAAATAAATTGAAATTTCACCTCCGGTCACACGCTTCAGAAGTCACAGTAACCATGCCAATAGCGAGCGGGCGGAAAAATGAAAAGCTCTTTTTTTTGCAGCGAAAACTGCACAGCTAACTTCGTTTTGGTAATTAAGCGCTTGCGCTTGTGGCACTTCAAATTGATTGGAGCCCGACATGGAGCGGTACGCAATGGAATTGAAACGGAGCTTTGGCTATGGAAAGTGCATTTGTAGGTAATTAATCGCATGGGCCCAAGGCATATTAAATTGATTGGTGTCCGTGGTGAAAACGAGACGGCTGCATTCCTGCTTGCTGTTAATAAATTGCATTGGAAATGAAACAGAGAGGTTAAAAGTTCCCTGCTTGGAGCGGTACGCAGTGAAATTGAAACGGAGGTTTACTAAGGAAAGTGCATTTGTGGGTAATTAAGCGATTGCGCCAAAGGCATATCAAATTGATTAGAGTCCGTGGTGAAATCGAAACGGATGCCATTCCAAATGGCACTGTACATGAAACACCAATGTTAAAGTAATTATATAGCACAAATTGGTTTTACTCTGACTTTAGCTACGCAGTGGAAATGGAAAAAAAGAGTATTGTTGGGGAAAGTGCATTGTAACTTAGGCACATTTACTATATTGAAGTTCAAAATACGCCTAAGGAAATGGTTTGGCTGCTGATTAGGCGCCCTTGAGCATAGCACTAAAAAAGAAATATTAAAAAATGGAAACGAGACGGCGCACATCAAACGTGGTTGTAGTGGTGACGACTGCGCCTGCCTGTAGGACGACTGCGAATGAAATTCAAACCAAAAGCAAAACAAACAAAAGCTTTACACAAACAAATACATTTGCTTTGACGGCGACGGCGCAGCAGCTAGCAAACAAAAAACAAAATTTTAATATGCAGTCAGCATAGCTAGAAGAGAGCGAGGGTGATGGCAGCTGTTTGCTGTTGTTGTAGTTGCTCTTTTGTTCTTCAACTCAACTGGTTTAACAAAAAAAAGCAACAAAACGCAACCCGTGTTAGCGTTGGCGTTAAAAATGAGGAACAAAAAAGAAAGAAAAAAAAAACAGCTGAATGTTTCTTTATTGTTGTTGCTCTCGTCGATGATTCTCGGGGCTTGGCTTTCTTTGACTGTTGCCTAGCACTATAAAAATGTTAATTTGTATGCTGTGCCTGGGTTTTTGTTGTTGTTGTTGCTGTTTTATTCTCTTTGCGTCTTGCTCAATCGTATTTCGTCTCACACGCGCTTCTAATGTCTGTCCGTTTGCTGTCTGAGATGATGATGTTGATGTTGATGATGGCATACAAAATAAAAGCCAAATCCAAAAGACAAACAAAGTTTCAATTGCTGCGAAAGTGGCAGGCATCAAAAAGTGGGCGGTCTAACACCAACAACATCAACTGCTGCAACAACTACAAAAGGCCCTGATTGCCACGCTTTTGATGAATTAACCGTTTTATTACTATTTTTCTTCTTTTTTTTCAGCTGGAAATTGAGTTGCAGCTGCTGGTAAAAAAAAAGCAAAAGCAAAAACAAGCAAAGGTTCATTGAGCCGGATCATGAGTGGCGGCAATTTTCAGCTGATATTCATTAAAAAAGAACACAAAAAAAAACCCACTTCAATATAAAGTAGGCCTCAAGCCGAGGAGGGGTCAACAATAAGTGGACAACAAGATTTTTGACTCTGTGTTGAGGAAACGTTTCAAGAGTCACCAAAAATTAGCTGATTAATGATGCATTAATCAAGAAGAAGACCCCTTAAAAGTACAAGTGCAAGTAATCAAAATGACAAGAAATTAATTGCAATAAAAATATACATAAATCCTTAACAATGATTTCCCATACCGGGAATTGAACCCGGGCCTTCCGGGTGAGAGCCGGATATCCTAACCACTAGACAATATGGGATATTGAATACTTCTTCCATTTTTAAGGCCACGTAGAATCTTTAGGACTTGATCTATTTATGTGATCATTTTTAAGTGGGTGCGTCTATTTAAAGAGTCTATATTGGAAACACATCTAGATATTATCATTTATTTGGCAATTACATAATCCCATATGGTCTAGTGGCTAGGATATCTGGCTTTCACCCAGAAGGCCCGGGTTCGATTCCCGGTATGGGAAGTAACTTTTTATATATATTTTAAGAAAATAATAGAATGACTTACAAATTTGGAAAGCTGTGAATATCAATTCCATTTAAATCAAGTTGATTCCTTATTAGATTAGCTCGAAAGCAAACAACTAGTCAGCCCATTAATATACCTATTAAACAACGTGATTATCACTTTAACTTTAGACCAAGTTCCTTTTTGTGTTTTTTTTTGCCCAAAACGAAATTGATCTCATTTGGGTGCTTAATCTTAATGTTGACTAATCTAAACACAAGTACAAAATGCTTAGAAATTGACCAATTTAGCAGCGAAAGAGCAGAAAAAGGGTAAATAAACAAGAAAAACAACAAATGCAATGCTATTATTTTTATTGGTTATATTTGTTGGCATAGTGTTGGTTAATGCATAAGCGCCACGCAAAAGAAACAAGCACGAAACAAAAATAAACATTTTTTGTTGTTGCTTTTTCTTCTTCGTTGTCATTGTTTTTTACGGTTGTTGTTGTTGTTATAGTTATGGCCAACAACAAGAAAAACCGTTTGGTTAACAACGGCCAAAGCTAAAGAGTCGAGTACTTAACTATTGTTAAAATGAAAATTAGCCATGCTCATTGTTGCAACACACAGCAACAACAACACGAGGCACAAACGTGTGGCAAGCAGCAACAACAGCAACATCAGTGGACAGACAATGCCTTGACTGAGTTTTTTTTTTTCTTTTCTTAATACGAAAATTGCTTTTTCATTGTTGCAGCAATCGTTGTTATTGTTGTTGCTAACTGACAATTTGATTGCCTGTTTTTTTGTGTGTATTTTTGTTGGCAAACGGAAAAATCAATTTGATTTTTAATTACGGCAAATTTGAGACAAAACAAATTGCGGGCTACGCCAAATAAGGCAAATTAACGAAAAAAAATAGCAAAAACAACAAGTTCATTTATTTGAGTCACAAACCCGTATAACGGTACACACGCAGCTGACGCAGCAGCAGCTGGAAGGAAGTATATCAAAAAGGAGACAGCAGCAACAACAACAACAAATTGAACAGTGCAATGAACCGTTACACAATTACCATTACGTGTGTGTGTTTGTGCGAGCGGGCACACAATACACACACACTTTCGATTATTGAACACTTGTCAAATAAATAATAATACAAAAAAAATAAAAAAATAAGCATTTTGACAGATTGCCCGAGCGCCATTTTTAATTCATTCTTAATTTTGCTTTCGCTTACCTTCTTTTTCCAGTGGTGAATTCTCCACTCGTTCTTATTGTTGTTGTTGTTTCAAATGCAGCAGCTTTGCAAAAGCTTCCTCCTTGAATATTAGTATGATAAAGAGAAAATAAACAAGGCGTCAAATGTAAATTTGTATTACAAAAAATCGCTTTAAGCCAGATAACACGAAAATAAAAAAAACTAGCGAGCGAGCTGCTTGTTGACGGAAACGTTTGACGACGGCGACAAAAACTAACTCCTGGCGCGACAACAACACCAATAAAAGCAGCAGCAACAACAACAAACAATTTTGCTTTTTTATTGATTTTTATGCGATGTGCAACAATTAATGAAAAATCGAAAAGCACGCGCAAAACGAGATGCGGCCGCTTGAAGCTGCTGTCGCTGTTTATTGTATTATTGCTTCACCTTTGCAATTATTATTTTGCGCGAATTTTTATAAGAATAAACACAAAAGAATTTCGCACACTCGACACACACACACACATACGCGCTGTTCAATGTCAACTCGCTTTCAGCAACTTCTTGTTTGTATTTTTTTTATTATTTCTTATTTTTTGGCATTCACATTTTTGCAAGCACGTAACAGAAATTATGAATATTCTTGTATTTTTTGTTGTTGGTCGTAATTACCAGCGAAGCACGCTGCACTTTGCAGAACAGAATGAGTTTTTTTGTTGGTTTAACAAGCGCGGATAGCGCGTTTTAATGCCAAAAATGCCAAGACTCGCAAACAACGACGAACCATGCGCAAGAAAAACGAAAAGAAGACTGAAAGACTGAAAGAAGCAAAAAAAATGGGCAAGCTATGTCGAAGGTATCGATATATCGGCGTTGTGGGTGCGTAATCGATATGTCGAGTTAACAGCTGTTAACTCTAGTACAATTACAGTGGTAGGCAGCTCGAACGAACACAACTGTTGTGCAGCCGTTGCGCGCTTAACATTTTGAAATTCAAATCAAATCCATCCATTATAAACCTTAAATAAAAAAGCGTTTGATTTCTTGTGATTATTTTGTAGTTGTGCTAGTTATTTTTATTCATAATTATTTTTTTGTTATTAAATACTTTTACTTTGTTTTTTGGAGCAATAACATTGGCAAATGCAAACAAATTCAACTACGGGAATAACGCGATTTACTCATCGTCGTAAGGAAAGGGGGCGGGACAGGGGGCGTTTGTTTACTAATTATGTATAATATACAATATATATATATTTATATATATTAATTATAACTTAACATTCTTAGGTCTTGTGTCTTTTGCAGCTACTCTTTTGACTAACAATTAAACTTTTGCTCGAGGTACCCAATAAATTATATTTATGCTAAGACTACATAATGAAGTTTTCTGTTTGTTTTTTTTTTGCTTTCAATTTGACTATATGCTGTGTGTGTGTGTTTTTTATTGTTGCTTCCGCTTCCACTTCCGATTCAGATCAAGGTAATGCTCAGTCCCTGGGGCAATTGCAGTCCTGAGAGTGTTGCTTCTGTTGCTGTTGCTGCTGTGTGGTGTGTAACTGCTTTGTGCTTTCTCACCACATCCGCTTCCGCTTCTGTTGCCGCCTGCTGCTGTTCGCTGCTGCTGTTGCTGCTGCTGGTAAGCTGATATCGCAGACGTCGACGCGCTGCTGGCGCTGGCAGCACTTCCGTAATGACGCTATCGAATTCCAGGAGTATTTCATCCTCGTCCAGATTGCGTGTCCAGCGTGGACGCTGTTTGGCGGGACTCATGATGCGCAACGGACGCACCGTGGTGGGTTTTTCCACTTCCACTTCCGCATCCGTTTCCGGTGCGGTCGCCTGTTCGCTGCTGAGCGTGGTGCCCAAGCGACGAAACATGGCCACCACTTTGCCATCGACACGCGGCGCCGGCAATCTTTGGTAGTTGACTAGTTTTGCTGCCTGTTGTTGTTGCTGCTGCTGATCCTTGGCCAGGATTTGCTTGCTCAGCTCCCGCTGCAATTGCGCCACTTTGCGCAGACTCCGTCGATGCATGCGACGCCATTTGCTGATCTCGCTCTCGCGGCACCTCCGACACTGACTGTTACTCCGGCGCGTGGCCAGCTTCGCCAGCGTCTGGGCCGGCTTGAGGGAGAGCAGACGCAGCACCATCGGCGCACTGCAGCTGCTGCAATGACGCAGCATTTTGCGCATGGCGCCGGAGCCGGCGGCGCCTGAGGATGCAGTGAATCCTCGCTTATTGTAGCTCATAGCGGGCGCAGACTGTGCAGCTGGCGGGGAGGAGGGGCGCTGGATGTGTGCCTGCTGCTGCTGTTGCTGCTGCTGTGGCTGTGGCTGTGGATGCACTTGCGCCACTGGTCGCAATTTGGCTGCCTTCAATGGTTGATCCTTTGGTTGCTGTTGCTGTACCAAGGCGCCAGCGCTGCTATTGTTGCCCAGATGCGAAGGACTCTGACTACGACTCGGACTCTCGGCATCGTTGCTGTTGAGCGCCTGCAGCGAGTGCCAGTTTATGAGCCAATTGTTGCAGCTAAAGCACAGGAATTTATCCTCATTCAGCGGCTGTAAGCAGACACAGAGAGACAGAGAAGGTTAATCGACGTGTTGAGATATGTGAGAGAGAGAGAGAGAACTTAAGATAAATGAGAGATATATATTGAGCGGGCTTAAAAGAAAAAAAAGACAGTTGTTGCTAAACAAATGTCGCTGTTAAACACATGTTGCTGCAGAGATGTTGTTAAAGAAATGCTGAGTCGTTTGGGGGAAGTGGAGCTAAGAGATATGCTCAGAAGGAGAACTTTAAAGTGGAAGAAGAAAGAGAGAGATCTTGAAAAAGAAATGATGAGCGAGTAAAAAAACTAGTGAGTTGTTGCTAATAAGATGCTGCTAAGCACATGTTGCTAACGAGGTGTTGGAAGAACACGAAGCCGGAGAAAGCGAAGAGCGGGCAAAAAAGTTATTGGGTTGTTGCTAAACAGTTGATGCTAAGCAGATGCTACTAACGAGGTGTTGCTAAGCATATGTTTCCAAACTTAGTCTCATTGAGAGTAGAACAAGCAAAGACCCATTGAGCCATTAATATATTTGTTAATTTAAATAATATAATATATTAATATACATATAAACTAATGAACTAATTAATATTTGATGTGAAGTTAAGGAAAGTGTCAATGCCATCAGTTTGATAGCTTTATTTTCAAATGACGACACAAAGTTATTTCCACTAACGTGCTAATGCTTATTTTAAATATCTGAAGGAATCAACCAAAGAAATATATGTATCAAAAGTTTCCTTCAACTTTTGCAGAGAGAAAGAGAGCGCTGCACAAAGAGAACGCAGTTAACGCGAATGTAAAAACTGTTAAAATTCCATTAGCTAACATTACAACACTTAACATTTAACTTACAGCACTTAACATTTAACATTTATTTTATCCTGCGCAGGGCGCCAAATTTAAAAATGCAGGCAAATTAAAGAAATTAATGGTTTTTTGCTGCTGCTGCTGCCAACAGAAAAGTGTTAATAAACCAGCTTGTTGACGCTCAGCCCACTTGCCCACATTTATAATTATATAATTAAAATTAGTAGCAACATGAGTGTAAAATATGTAGAAGCTGCTCAAGCTCGGAAGAGTTTCGTGTGAAATGCAATTGTATTCAACTCATTGTCCTGCCCAATGAGTTGCTACTGGAGCATATAACCGCAAACAGCAAAAAATAACCAAATGTGCTGACTAAAATTGTGCTACGCCCCAAAGAACTGGCCAAACTCCGACTCCGATCACTGACCACTAATGAGCGTCCTCAGATTGAAAGGTGCAAGAAATATCATAAAATTTAAGTTGACTTTGGGTCCGTCGCGTCGTGGCATATTAATTACCGCTTGAGCAGCGAGAGACGAAGAAGGAGCGGGAATGGGGAAGGGAGCTGGTTCACGGCATTCCTTGTATCAATAATATTTTGTATTTCTTTGCGTGCACCTGCCGAAAATTGCGCCCAGCAGCTGCCTCGAAAATACAACAACAACAAAATACACAAAACCAGTCGAAAAAAAGGGCTCGAGGCGTGGTTTGAGGATACGGTTATGTTTTAGGTAGGCGCTCCCTGTCCAGGCGGCAAACCCGTTTGGCCACGCGCCGTCCTCCTTATCGAACGCCTGCAAAGCGTAGCGAAGGAGACCCAGCGAACCAAAAAACAAAAAAAAAATAAGGAAAATAAAATAAAATATGTACAAGCCAAACATGACATTAGGCACGCGGCATAACAACAGTGACAGCTGCTTAGAATTAGAGAAGGGGACAAAAGTGCCAGAGAGAGAGAGAGAGAGAGAGAGAGAGGGAGAGAGAGAAGTAATAGAGAGAGAGAGCGGGGGAGGGAGTTTCGGGATAGGGTAGTAGTAGTAGAAAAGAGTAGAGTTAGAGTATAGGTAGTGAAGAGGTAAAGTAGAGCTAGAGTAAATATAAATGTAGATAGATGTAGATGTAGAAGTAGAAGTAGAAGTAGAGTAAAGGTAGTTCAGAAGTAGAGCCTTGCTTTCGAGAGTATACAGTAAAGGTATAGAAGATTTTATACTTAAGAGTACAGCTAGAGAAAAGATAGACCTATATTATATAGTACGGGAGTAAACTAAAGGTAGTGTAGAAGTAGAGTCCTCTCTCTCTCTAGGCTAAGGGCAAACAAGAGATGGACTATAAAATGAATAGATATATACATTTCACACTGAAGAGTAGAGTTAGACAGCATGTTGACTTCTAGTAGAAACTAGTAGATTTAGACAAAAGGTAGCTTAGAAGTAGATTCTTCACTCCTTAAAGTATTAATAAAGTAAAGGATATTCCAGATTTGGAGGTAAATCGATCAGAGTTAGAATTTTCACAGTTAATATTAGAATTGGAGATTAGATGGGTTTTTAGTAGATTAAAGTAGAGTAGTAGAGTAAAAGTAGAGTAAGTAGAGTAGTGTAGAAATAGAGTACACTCTATCTTGAATAAATGAGTACATAGAGTAGAGATCGATTTATAGGCGTAAAGTAGTTGTGGTGGTAGTGTTAAATTAGGATAAATGTAGAATCTTTACTCCTTAAGGTAAATGTATTCCAAAGGTAGACTGTAATTCAAGTACAAGGAGAGCTGATACATTTAAGATTAGAGCTAGAGTAAAGATATAGATTTATATCAAAAGAGGTAGTGTTCAAGTGGAGTAAAGGTAGATCAAAGGTAAGGTCTTAATACTCAAAAGTATAGATAAAGGTGTAAGTAAAGTAAAAGTAGAATACAAATCGAATGCAGCTAGATTTGAACTCGAATTCAGATAGAATAAATGTATAGTCGAGTCAAGAAGTGGAGGTAGTGTAAAGGATAGTTACTGCCAGGATCAGTTGGGTACCGCAAGCCAAAAAGGAATTCAAAAAGTGGAAGCGATCGCTCAAAAGGCCATGTGCAAATGGTAAAATAATGCAAATTGCAGGCCAGGTGCAATTCAGGCAGCCTGAAAGAGCCACACGCAAAGCTGATAAACACACGAAACGAAAGAAAGAGAGAGATAGATAGAGAGAAAGAGAGAGAGGCAGACAGATGAGTGACTGAAATTGCTTTGCTGCTGCTGCTGTTTTATGGCAGACTCATTCAGTCTTTGCGAGACCTTATGGGTTTCTCGAGCGGGTTGAGGCAGAAGGGGGTGTGTTCTACTATAAAGCGGGGGTGATATATGTATATATATATATATATATGCATGTGTGTAGGGGGTGCATTGTGTAGTCAGTGGGCAGGTGGTGTTCAGTTGCGCAAATTGAATAAACAACAACGATCGTTACGTTGCTGGCCACTCTTTGAATAAGGGTGAACTATGCAAACTGAATTAAGTAGGGTAAATTCTAACGGTTTCTAGTTCTACAGATCTTAACCGATATAAAAAGCGTACCCTATTAAAATTGTGTACTATGTCAAACTAACTATTATTGTTTAAAAAGCAGTTCAGAGCTCTACTTGGAGATCAACTATTCTCTTTATCAAGATCTTATCAAGCTATCTTCATACAATACAAGCTGTCTATTTATGTTCAAGTCTCCATTCATTGTTGATAAGTAAAAGAAATATGATGCCTAGTTTCTAATATTATAACTGACTACCTCTCTATCATATCATGACCATCACACTGACTAATTAAATGCTCTGTAATTCAATAGCTTCTATCTGCCTTCATATCTTAGCAGCAACCCCTATCAATATCTTTCTATCATAACTAATTCAATTGTTGGCAAATCCAATTAACAGCTGGCAATGCAATGAAACCTTAGAACAACTGTCCCAAAAACTAGCCAAGAAGTCCTGCAAGGACTCATACTCAAATTTTCGTTGAATTTCTGTGGAATTTTCTGGAATTTTTTCTATGGTTTCCACAAACAATTAGAGTGGTCTATGGAGAAGTACATAGTTAATGAAGTTTATCAATTGAAAACTTATAAAAAATGACTAGAAAGATTTTGGAAATAAAATATAAGAAATATAAGAAAATCTCAAAGATTAAAGTACATCTAAAAACCATTTCCATTTCATATGAGGTATAAAAGAAATCAATAATTGCCAGCTAGATAAAAGAATACTAAACCGCAGTTATCTTTGGAGATCAATAAAAAATGCGATGCCTTTGCTAGATAAGCTGGAGGAACTGCGTCTCAGCTGCTGCTTGCTGATTGCGCAGTTCATAAAGAAATCCAGAAACCTTTAAGAATGTTAACAACAACAGCAACAACAACCTATAGAAATTGTTTACCTAAGCCGGGAGAGAACAGACAATAGCTGATATGCGAAAAGCAGGCAGCTCAAAAGAGTTTGTCTGGTTTCTTTGCCGGATCTGCTCTAAAGATGTGTGTGTGTTTGTGTGTGTGTGCTGCCAAATACAGCTGCTGTCTGTGTTTGTGAGGCAGCTGGAAAAAAGGTAGCCCTAAAAAATAAAAAGAAAAAATGTTAAGAGGCTGCTGCTTGCTCACAGGTTTGTAAGCAAAACGAAAACCCGCAGAAATTGGATCAATCATAAACAGCGAGAAGAGGCATCAAAAACAACAACAACAACAACAAAAGATATGCACGAATTGTCGCAGCTGCCACACAGCCAGCTTGATTGGAGAGCAGGTTCGTGAGTTTGCTTCAAGGCTCTCACTGACAGGTAGCCCCACAACAACAACAGCAGCAACAACAACAACAACTCAAAAACTGTGTAATCCAATATGCAACGCACTTTGTTCTGTGATGTGATGTGTTGTGCACTTTCCCAGGCCACATTTAAATTAGAACAAGCTGTTGAAAATTATGGAAACAGACAGAAAAGGACAAAGGACTGACGACAGAGGACAGAGGACAGAAGGACGCATGTATTGATTAAGTGCCACATGCAAAGTGTCCAATTACAGAAAGGGAAATGCAGCAGCTGCTATCCAGTTACTAAACTTGTCCAAGCTGTCCAAGTCGTCCAACTTACCCACGCTCTACACCGGATACGGATATGGATATGGATATGGATACACACACACAGCGACAGTCACAACTCAGGTAAATCGGTTTAGCTTAGTTTAGTTAGTCAGTCAGTTGGTCAAACTGGAAGGCAGATTGACAGCAAAGGTCGTCAATGTCGTCAGCTGAAGTTGTTAACTCAATCAATGGGTTTTCATCCTTGCTCTACTTTGTGTGGTGAAACCTGTTAAATGCGGAATAAAAACAGTCCTAGAAAGTATTTCTAATCGACAATCTGAAAACGTTGGACTTGGTTTAGATAGAAGAAATGCATTTCTTCAGGGGAATTATTTCGCTGAGTGTATAAAATTTAATCATGTTCAAGATTCTGTGACTGCTTTAGTTGGATTTGGTATCGAATCAACTATCTATATATATATTAATTAGCTATGAGAGTGTTTGAGTACTATATGTAAAGCTCTTTGAATAAGCTTGCTCTTTCTTAGTTTAAGCTATTCTCTGCTTATTATTTCCACATTATCAACTGCAAATTGGACTAAGACAAGACCTCTAAATCTGTCTCTCAGCTCAGAGGCTTGCTTCCTTCTCAACTTAGTTACCAAATTCGAACTTTGCACTAGATTTCGCCTCACACAACTCCTCAATCGTTTTATTAAGAACAGTTTCTATATCTTCTCTAGTTATTTCTTTGGCCAGACTTTCTATTATGATTTCCCTCAGGTTAGGTCAATTGGATTAATATTGTAAGTTCCATGCTTGCTCTGAGTCCTCTTTTTGCCTATTTCCAATTACATTTTTAGCTATCCATTTTGTAAATCAAACATTTGAGTTGCAAATTCCTTCAGCTGCATGCAGACTTCCTTGGCCAAACCTACCCTTTGCACTGTCGACTCGAGCTGTACCAACTCCCAACTAAAAAAACAACGCCCAGCTAGGTGGGGCTGCTGCTGTTGCTGCCCCTTCCCCGACCCCTTGTCTCGGGAGACTTTTCAAGTGCACACGCTTGGATGCTGCAGCCACCTGAATGGATGGCAAGCAGCGAGGGGGGTAGGGAGTAGTGCCGCTTTTAGCGGGTTGCTGCTGCCTCAAATCTTTTGCACAGTTCACAGTTTTTCATCCCCTTTTTTCATACAAATACAAAACACACACACACACACACATAGATACACAGACACGGGACGAGACGAAGGACGTTCGCTGTGTGTGACTCATTTATCGATTTTTGTTTTTGGTTGGTTTTGGATTTGGATTTGGATTTCGTGTGTTTGCTGCGAATGCATACCTGAAATTTGAATTTGGCTTGGATTAGCTGTACGATATTTGGTCCGGAGCGTGGCTCATAGATGTTGATCGTCTGATTTGTTTGGCAGCCGCAGATGAGGCAGGTGCGTTTCAGGTACTCCGAGGCGGAGGCAGCCGATGCCGCTGCTGAGGGCGCTGCTGCTGCCATTGCCGCCGCTGGCTCTGCCTCATTGTTCGCCGACATAATAACGTATTTATTATTATAATCCTTGTTTCTTAATATTGTGTCTATATTTTATTTGTATTTGTTTTTTTTCTTTTCTTCTTTTTGTGTCGGCACTCTCTGACGTCACTGGCTGTTTTGACAACAACAACAACAACAACGATTGCGTATTGGTTTTGACGTTAAATCCACAATCCACACACAGGAGAAGAAGAAGAAGACGAAGAACAACAACAACAACGGCGACCGTTCCACGTTGCACGTCCTTCGCGTTGCACGCACAATTTTCGAATGAGGCAAGCAAACTCACGAGTCTCTGCCTCGGCCTGTGGCACTCAGCGAAGTCGGACGTCGTCGTCGGCATCGACGTCGTCGTGCTCGTTGGGCTGTAATTCCATCTGCCCTCCTTCAATGTTGTTGTTGTCGTCGCCTGTTTCCCTTTTTTCCCCTGCCTGCCTCTCCTTTTACCACCTTGCCGCCTTTTGTTCGCGTGTGCAGCACTGAGAGAAATCCACAACTGCAAAGACAGAAAAAAATTAAAAGTAAGCTTGAAAAGTTGTATCTTATCTGTTGCATTACAAATTAGATAAAATATTTTAAGGCAAATTAATTACTTACTAGTTACTTATTTTATTAATATTTATTAATATTTATTATGTATTTCTTATTCAAAATATTAATTCATTTATAGTTCTATACAGATGAAGAAGTTTAAATTAAAATATGTTAGAATTATTATAATTATTTGCTAGCTGTTTGTTTATGCCCTAAAATCATTAAAATCAATAAAAAAAAGGGTTTTACATGAATTCCAAGCAAAAATAAAAAGAAGTCAGACCATTATTAGAATGATGTTGATTTATAAAATCGCGTCAGTTTTGACCAATTTATGACAATAGGAAACTTTTATCAGTATTTACATTTATTTATTATTATTTTTTAAACATGAATACCAAGTCAGAATCGCGTTTGCAACTTCAAATGTAGCTTTAATTTAGAGTTCCAAACATGGCTAAAAAGACCTGCTTTTTGAAAATCCGATCATTTTTGACGAAGTTATGGCTGTGGAAAGTTTCGAACTGTTCTCAATATGATTTTTGAGATAAAATTTTAATATGATTTCCGATCTACAATCGCATTTTAAACTTTAAATGCAGTATTATTTTAGAGGTCAAATCATGATCAAAATGTCATTGCTTTTGAAAATCGGTTAAGTTTTGACAAAGTTATGGCTGTGGAAAGTTAAGACTAATTCCTGCATAACATTTTTTAGAACAAACGAATTTTACATGAATCTCAGCATAAAAAGGAGTTTGCCAATTTAAATATAGTATTAATATAGAGGCCAAATCGTGATCAAAAATGCACTGCGTTTGAAAATTGAAATCTTTTTGAAATGCACAAAGTTTTTAGAAACAGTTTTAGACAGTTTAAACGTTGGAGTCCTCTTCACAAGGATTCGTATGCCCGAAACCTGTTAAAAGTATTGATTTATAGGCTCATTAGCTCCATTTTAATAACACTTACTTGACTCAGTGGAGGTAAGTAGTATGTTTATATTAAAAGGCGTTATTATGTTCATATTTACATATTTGCTCAGCCCAACAACAGCTACCATTAATACTTGACCTATCTACACTTTGTGCAGACCTCTACGCTTCCTCCAGAAAGCCAAAGGAAAACCTCCAACAGCAGCAGCAGCTGCTGTCTCAACAGAAATTGAACGACAAACTCCAAATTTAATGTGCAGGCTTCCTTTTGGCAACGGCAACCACAGCAACAACAACCAGATCAGATACTCGTCCTGCTCATCATTATGTTATTTATTTGTTGTTTTTACTTATTTCGAAGGTACAACAACTTGTAGCATGTGTGTGCAACAGCAGCAACAGCAGCAGCAGCAGCAACAGGCGGCATCCACATTCACATCCACATTGTAGTCGAGGATTTAGCTCAGTAGCAGCAGCTGCTCCTCCAAAAACGCACCACAAAAGGTGCATTTTTTGTTGTTGATGTTTTTTTTTTCACTATTTTTTTTTTGGTTTTTTGTTTTTGGGAACTCAATCATATGTTCTGCGCATATAACTCGTACTTTGGCCTCATCTTTGGCTTTGACTTTGTTTGCAGCTTGCAACCGGATTTTTAATGCTGTGGCGACAGATGTTTTTTTTTTCTTCTCTTTTTTGTTTTTTCGCCTTTCGTCTTTTGGTCTTCGGTCATTTGTGGCTCGTTTCGACTGGGTTAAGATGCCGCTTGCTGCTTCCCGCTACTTTTACTACGACTCGTATCGCCTCGTACTCCATAGTAAACAAAGAATCATTTTGCTTCGCACTCTTCATGAATGAGTTGATGAATGGACCACTGAACGAGCTACGCGAGCAGCCCGGAGATGATTAGGGGGCGCAGAATGGATGTGTTATCAAGCGGATATTTGTATCGTGATTTTGAAAAGGAAGTTAACAATGTGGTTGGCAGTCTTGAAAATGTCAAGAGCTAGACTATTGGTAAATAACTAATATAATACAATACATTAATGTATTATTAAATGTATAATATCGCATCGTATCCTTAAAGCTAGCTAGAGGACTTTTATGGTATTCATAAATACTTTGTGTGCCATGAAATGGTCTAGAAAATGATTTTATTAAATGCTTAGAACGTAATAATTCGTTGTCGAAACTTGAATACTTCTTTTCTTTTTCTTAAAGTACGAAAATTCATTTACTTTGACACCTTTAACATGAATATCTTAAAAAGATTAACCGCCTATTAATTTTTAACGTTCAAATTGAAATTTAACCACAGCATACTTCTAGGCACACACAAGCAGTAGACATGCAGTGCAAGCAGTGTCCGCCTGACGTGGAATGCAGTTCAGATGTGGGAAACTTACAAAACTGCTTGCCGAGCGCGCATTTTAAACGGTTGAGAAAATAGTCAAACGAATAAATATTTATATTTGGCAAAACTTCAACTTCAAAGCACATTTGTTAGTTCGTTTGAGCTGAAAATACCTAATTACAAATATTAGAACTGCTGCTAGATGAAGTTATGTATTAAATGGGGAGATTCAAGAGTTTAATGTACATTTCCGATGTCGGAAATCTATTGTGCAACTTTCAGATTCTCTATGCATAGTTAAAATACATCTGGTTCCTTAAATAGTATCAAATTGCTGTACTTTAAATATTTGGTTAAAGAATGATAGATGTTTTTAGGAGTTATGTGTTGTAATTGCGTATCTCTTGGAAAACTTTTTAATTTACTCAAAATAAAATTTACCACCCACAAAAAGCATAAGGAAAGCCTAAGACGACTCATTAAAATCGGCAACCAATATTTTGACTAAGCTTAACAACAACATATAATCGCCAAGGATAAATATAAAGATTTTTTATTTGCTTGAGGAAGTCACACGCATTCAATTGTAAATCGAATTCAAATAGTTAAAATTATGCATTTAGGGTGAAGCAAGAGCAAGTCAAGATTCGTATGCGTAACCCAAGGCATGACGGGGAGACTCTTGAGATTATGTGGAATAATATTGTACTTATGAATTGAGGATTTAAGTCACCCGCTGATGCTGCTCCTGCTGCTGCTGCTGTTGTTGCATGTGAATCTTGTGGCGTCGTCGCCTTCTCGTTCTCACGCACGGCGACTCCCGCTGCTGAGAAAGCAACAAATTGCTAGTGCCAAGGTGCCTCACAGGACCCCCCCTAAAGCACGTGCGAAACTCAAGAGCGAGAGTGAGCAAGAGAGAGATAGAGGGAGAGGGAGAGAGGAAACGAGAGAGAGAGGGGCGCGCGTGCAAAATAATTGACTTGACTTTTTGTTAATTGCAACAAGCAGCAGTGGCAGTGGCAGCAGTGGCAGCGTTGCCGCAGCATGTGGCTTAGAGTCACCCAACTGCCGATTGGTGGCAACGGCACCGATACTCTAGGGGATGATCGAATGAATGAAATGTTGCGGCACACACAAGCAACCCTCTCGGGGGAATTCCGTACACATTTTTGCCGGCACTTTTTCGCCGTTTGTTGTTTGCCTTTGGCTTTGGCTTTTTATTTGTAGTTTATTTATTTATTTTTTTGGGTGGTTGCTATGGGTGACTATTGCGCTCTGTTGTGCTCTTACTCTCCCTCTCTCTCTCGCTCTCTCTCTGTTCGTCATATGGTCTCTCTGCGCGCTCTCTCACTCACTCGCTCTCTCTATCTCACTCTCTTTGGCTGAGTTGCCATTTTGTTGAAGAGCTTCGGCCGGTCTGCTCTTTTATTTTGTGTGTGTTTTGGCATTTTGGGCCAACGGGCAATGTTTCAGTCAGTTGCGAACGCTGCAGGCGCAAGGATATCCCATTCAGTGCTCTCTGTTTTAAATAGTCAAGCGAATTTATTCTCGTATTTGGCGCGCTTTTTTTGCGCGTAGTCCTCAAAAATTATTAATATTCAGTGCGGCTGCTTCTTCTTCTTGTTGGAAAGAGTATTATTTAATTGCTTGGCATGTCTAGGCGCAAACAGGCAAAGCCGCGCGCCTGCTTGAAACGTAAGTTTGCCCAAGGCTGGACAATAACAGTAAAAGCAACAACAACAGCGACAATTCCCCAGTGAAAGCAGTTCAAATTGTCTGCGTGTGTGTGTGTGGTGTGTTTGTGTGTGTGTTTGATTGATTTGGGGCCAAGCCGTAGTCCAAAATGTGACAAGTGCTGCACATATGCGGACGGGTGGGGGGAGTGGGGAGTTACAATTTGGCAGCAGCAGCAGCTGTAATCCCCCGTGTAACGGTACACCTAACTGTCGGACTGGGCATGGGGAGGTGTAAAAAAATAGTAAACGTTTTGTGTGGTGGGTTAGCTTTTACCGTTAGTCTGCTTGTCTGACTGACTGTCTGCCTGCCTACAATTGCAAACTGCAAACTGCAGCCAAGGCAACCAAAGTGCCGTTAATTTTTAATACAATTTCAAATTGTGTCAGTGTAAATAACAGCAAACATACACACATACACACACACACACATACACATACAATGATAACAAATAAAATTGACAATAAATCCAATGCACATGTGAGGCGGGTAACTGGCAACCGGCTCAAAGCCCCCAAAGACAGCGCCACACTCACACAACAGACACACACACACACATATACAAAGCACATGCACACATTGCACAGGGCATAAAATTTCCCCAACGTATACAAAGTAAAAACGAAAACGGCAAAAAAATAGAAGCGAACTTTGGCTTTGCTCTTTTTTTCTCTCTCGCTCTCGCTCTGCCCGAAAAAAGCACAAAAACACAGAAAACCCATTGCCATGTATTTCTCATGGGAGTCGACAAACGGCTCTCTGGCCAATCCCAAGGGAATTCAACATTGGCGCTTACAACAACAACTACAGCAGCAGCAACAGCAAAAACCGAAACATGCGCAATTCTCTGGGGAATTTTCATTCGTTGACGCGACATATATATATATGTATCAGTATGTGTGTGTGTGTGTTGCTTATGTACGTGTGTGTACATCTGCGCTTGCATGTGTATGTATTAGTGCGTGCTTATTGATAAGCAACAACAACAAAAGCTGCTCAATATTTACGCTTTGATTTTCCATTTTTTTTTTTAGCCAACTATTCGTTTTACACCTTACCAAACATTTTGTGTGCTGGCGAAAATCTTTAAAACCGCTGCTAAAGTGAATTCCCCACAGCTGCTACTGCTGCTGCTGCTGAGGCGGCTTAGCATTGCGACAGTTTTTGGCCCAAGCGAGCGTCGTCTGCCATAAGTTGAGCACCAGAGTTGCCTTACTGCCTCATGCTGCTGCTGTTGCCGGGCGTCCTCCAAACCGTTGACATCGTCAACGTGTGCGCGTCCCTTGAGTATTGGCAAAATATTTGCTATGACATTGCAAAGAGAGAACGCGGCGCCAAAATAGCAACAGCAACAGCAACAGCAAAAGCAAGAACAGCAGCAGCAAAAGCAGCAGCAGCAACTGAAAGCACTTTGAGCCTGGGCTATGTGGGGAGTTGTCTGCTGTGTGGAGTTTTGTGGGGTTATATAGTCCTCTATATATACACTCAGCCAAATGCGGGCACACTTCGCAAGCTCAAACTAGCATAAGAATTTGCTGATATTTTTAAGCTATTATTTTCATAATTGCTAGTGAGATTATGAGAATTGAATTCCGCTTTTGCATTTTTGCATTTCTAGAAATAGAAAGTATTGTTTGCATATTTTTCTCTGAGTGCACAAACCTATACATACATGCATGTATATTGGCTATGTGGGTATGCGTCTAACGGTAACTAGTTTGGGTAAATAGATTTTGCTGTGGGCGTTTGTTCGCATCGCAATGTTGTTGTCTTTTTTTTGGGATATCCCATGGGGAATTCACTGGCAGCGGCATTTTGTCAAGCTCGGCCACCTTGGGAAATAACTGCCTTTTTGCACTTTAAGCAAGCAGTCCTTGTCCGTGTTTAATTTCCAATACCTTGCGAAGAAACTCAAAATTGTATATCGATAGGTGTATGCAAAACAAGTGTGGCCAATTACTTGATCGATCGGCTGTTGGACGCTGTTGTGAAACTGTTGTGTATCGGATACACATATATTGGTTGGTCAGCTTCCGAGTATGATCGCAGCATTTATCGATTTTGCTGTTGCCAACTGTTTTGTTGCTGATTATTACATTTTGCGTTTTGTTGTTGTCTCTTATTTTGGGGTTTGCCATGGGGAATTCACTGGCGGCGCCATTTGGCAAGCTCGGCCACCTTGGGAAATAACTGCCTTTTTGCGTTGTCGTTGTCTGTGCTTAATTTCCAAGAACTGTCAATGAAATTTTAAATTTACTATCGGTAGGGAAAAAAGTGTTGCCAATTGGTTGATCGCTCACTTCTTCGACGCTGTTGTGCAACTGTTGTGTATCGATTCACACATATATCGGTTGGTCAGTTCTCAGCGTGTGATCGCAGCACTTATCGATTTTGCTGTTGCCAACTGTTTTGTTGCTTATAATTTCTTTCTGTTTTTTTGTTTTTTTCGCGCAACTATTGATGAAATTTATTGTTTGGCGCTTTTAACAACACCTTCGGGTTTGTTATTTCATTATTTTTTTAATACACGTATATGTGTGTGTTCGCCATTATAAAAGTTGCAGGCGCTTTGGCATTGTTTTTAGCTGCTGCCACCCAACCCACCCAACCAACCACCTACGCCACCCACTCCCTTTTGCTCGCTGCTAGCCTTGCTCTCTACACACGCTTAGTAGCCATTTGGGAGCTTGGAAAAGTGGCAAGCGGCGGGTTTTGTTCGGGTAGTGGCAACGGATTGATGGGTCAAAGGGGACGACGCTTATTATTACGTTTACAAATATGTTCGAGTATGTGCTGGTGTGTGTGTTGGTGTGTGTGTAAGTGCGCACCTTTTTCTCTGGTTGGGGGTAAAACGCTTAAAAGCCATGCCATAGCCGAAAAACAAGTAAGAAACACACACACACACACACAGACAACCACACATGCGGGCACTTGTGCTCCACACCAATACACTCACAGACACACACACACACACAAACAGTGGCAGCGACCGAGTGCGAAATGCACTCTGGGGGGCTTTAAACAAAAATGAAAATCGCTTGCATACATATGGGCGCTTACACACACACACACACATACACTTATACACACACACACACACACATCTGCTTGCTGCCTTGCACAAAAAGAACTTGACTACGTCGTCGTCATTGCTGTTGTTGTTGCGGTGCTTCGACAATTTTAACGACCATAACTGGTTCTCACACCCCAACCACCGCACCCCCAAGCACCATCCGCCCCCTTGAAACCCACCCTACTCCTTGCCTTGCTCGCATTTATTTTAAAATACGCGGCACTTCCGCCGCAAACGGCACACACTCAGCTCTCGCTCTCTGTCTCTGTCTCTTTCTCGCCCCCGACCCCTGACCCCTTGGCACCCATCACCCAATACCCCACACACACTACCACCTCCACGCTCCGCTCTACCCCTCACACATGCTCTTTCAAGTGGCTCGCGCGCGAGAGTTCTCATTTTTATAGCTTTGCTCGTTTCGTTTCGCTGGGGCTTTTTTATATGGAAATAATAACCAAATGTTTTCGCATGGACACAGGACACGTATCGTGTCGACGCTTTTCCATTATGTTGACCAGGCTCTCTCTCACTGCAAGCCTGACTGGCTGGCAATCGTCTGTCCTCTCGTCCAGCTCGGCATAATGTTGATTTTTCCGCGCGGCGATTCCTTGCGGTGTGATTCCGGCATGTCCTTTTGGCAATATATTTTAAGCCGTTACCTTTGCCAACGATGGCGACGACGACGCCGTGGTCACCAATATGGTAGCTTCCCCTACCCACTACCCTTACCCCTACCCCTACAGCCCTACAGCTACCTGTACCCCTTAACTTGAGGGTAAATCATTCACAGTGTGTGTTATTTTATCATTTACATTTGAGTGCGGTTTTGCATTAGCTCAAAAGTAAAGCGATTCTGCATTTTACAAATGAGCTAAACAGTTTCTATAATAAAAGTTCGTTAGAGAAAAGGGGAATATTCAGGATAAGGAATATAAAACGAAGGACAGTTTTAGATATAATATTAGGGAGACTTTCATATATAGTATTCAATATTGAATATGTATTTCAATTGTCAATTTTGAAGGGATGAAGGAACATTAAAGATAGCTCTTCAAAAGCAGAAGGTAGATAATTATATAAGCACAATCAACCAATTAGTAATTCATGCCAAGTTAAATAGTATGCAACAAGTAAGATTGTAGATTGCGTAGCATAACGCAAAAACATACATACCTTAAGGATTTGCTTGTATATCGATATTTATCGATACTTTGAGCTCATAAGCGATAGACCTTAACAAGAAGTGTGATTTCTTCTTTTAATAAAGGATAATTTCTTCTAAGATTAATTGGCAATTAAGAGATTTAGACTTAAGATTCAGTATACTTGCCCACATTCAAAAAATATGCCTAGTAAATGATATTCCACCTGTAGCTGGCACAGTTACCAGTCAAATAAGAGAAAAAGCTCATAAACTTCACATTTGCTTTGCCTTTTGCAGCACACACAACACAAAAAACCAACGAAATTTATGAAAAATTCAATTTAATTGCACAATTACACATGTTCCACATTTCCATATCGTATGAGCTTTTGCTGACTGCTCTTGTTCTTGGCTTGTAGTCTGCTTGCTGCTGATGTTGTTGTTGTTGGTGGTGCACCCCTTGCAATTACTTTTAAGGCAGTTGTTTTTGGCCAACGGCAACGACACCCACAAGACTCTCTCTGGCAAACAACAACAGCAACAGCCATCGATCACGTGCGGCTTTGCCAGCAACATACACACACCAACACACCAACACACACACACACACACACTGAGACACTCAAACACACACAGAGACTCACTGTGGAGTTTTTGAGCTATTGGCAACAGTTTTCTTTAGAAACCGGTAAACTGGCGGCACCAACAATAAAACACAAAACGTGTAAATAGAATTTTTGGCACGATGGCCGCCCGGGGAGTGCTTTAGCATAATCTGCATGAGTATGGGTACGAGTGTGAGTGTGAGTGCGAGTGTGAGTACCCCCAAGTATGAGTATGAGTATGAGTATGAGTATGTTCGGCAAGTACTGTCGCTGTCGAGTCGACTTCAATTTGCCAAAGTTCTGCGAGTGTTCAATACACTCATTAATTATTGTCTACGCTTTGATGCCCTGTAAATTTGAAGAGTGGGGGATACACACACATGGATTTTACATATTTGACAAGCTCTTCCAAGACTTAAAAGTTCCATTTATATTTGTAATTTATTTTCAATTTTATTTACAATTTAGTTAAATTTATTTTTACTTTCTGTATTGTTCTGTGCTAACAGATATTAGTTGACATTAAGTAAATAAATAACAGTGTAATAATATATTATACTAAAAAGTATGCATCAGTTTTAATTCGAAATATTATTCATTACTAAACAGAGCATCGCCAAGTCGTTCATTTTGAACAAATCTATTTTGCCAGCTTTGTTTAAAATCAATTGATTAGTTCTAATTTGACGTTGTTTGATTTGCAGTTGGCGAAAAGGAGGAGGAGAATGGAGGCGCCACCAAGACGCCCAAGGCAGCCGATTTGCTCGAGCCCAAAGAGGAGTTGCTGAGCGCCGACGAAGGGGGCGAGGAGGAGTACGAGGAGGAGGACGATGATGAGCCCGACGAGGAGGAGGAGGAGCAGGACGACGAAGAGGAGGGCGATGGCGAGGGGCACCAGCAGCCCAGTGGCAATGAGAATGGGACTGAAAAGGAACAGCAGCAGCAGCGAGTCCAGTCCAATGAATCACAGTCGAAGCGGCAGCAACAAAACTGGCAGCCAGCTGATGCTGCTGATGTTGCAGCAACAACCAAAGCCAAAGTTGGAGAAGGGGCCGCAGTTGCAACGGCAGAAGAACTACAACACCCTGGGGATCCTTCTGTTGTTGCTGCTGCTGCTGCCACTGCTGGTGGTGCTGTGGCAACGTCTCTGGTTGTTGCAGCAGCAGTAGCCACGGGCAACGCCAATGGGCACTGCAAGTCGAGGTCCACATCCACTGGTAAGTTTGACTTCAATTTGCATATTTTATTGCCTTTTGCCCAAAAGATATATACATGTATATATACACCGATATAAACTGCTGAAGCACCAGATACAATCTCCCCTCACGCACACACACACACACACACACACAGAGAGACATACACCCATCTTTGAATTTAGATTCGTGTCCAGCTCTTGGAGTCGCCCACGTTTCAAGAGCAAAGTCATCGTCTTGGGCTTGCCCCATGGGGCCTTAACATGTCCGGCTAATAACTCTCGACAGTCTCATAAATAGCAAATGTTAACTTGTTGTTGTTAGCTCTTTTGCTGGCCAACCACTGTGGCTAGCACCACGTGTGGGGCCAGCTCTACAACTGCTGCTAGCTTTGGCTTTAGTCCATTGCTGTTTAAAAGTACTCAACTAGCTTGTAAATTGGTTAATGTTGCAGTTATGGTCACATTTAAGGGGTGCTCATCTGTCAGCTAGTTTTGCACACAATTTACGATCAACTCTTGGGTTAATATAAATAGTAGAGTATAAACCAGAGTGTGCTTTTCAATATAGTTGTAGATAACTGGAATGAAATTTACGTTTGTTTAATTTGCACGATAAAAAGAAAAGCTGAAAAGCTGTAGTTTTCGGGCGATGAATGTTATGAGTTCAGAAGACGTGAAAATTCCTCAATCCGAGTAAGATTCTTGCATTCGTGCAGGGGTTGATGGAAGAGCTGTGAGCTCAGAAGGTGACAGTGCTGAAAGCTCAATAATAATCATAATAAATGCTTCTTTTTTATATATATTTAGAAGAGATTAGCTGCTTTTCATATTAATTTAATGTTAGTCCAACTTAATGTTAATATTAATTCATCCATCTTTTATGCTGCCTGCTTTTTTTCTCGTTCAATTTTCATGGCAATCAACTTGTTAACATTGCGCTGCAAAGTAGGCAATGCTTTTTTCGTATAACATTTGCCGCTGCTCGAATCACCCTGTATACACACACACACACATACAGATATACGCTTATGCTTTCGCTTTGGAGGCTGTTTCTGTGTTTCTGCTGCTTCTGCTGCTGTCGATGCATAAAGTTTGATGTGTCCATGCGGCATCATACACGCGCACATTTACATACACACACACACACACATATAGACATGTGTACATGTGTTGTTGTATTTGGATATTCCTGTGCGTCATTGGATTATGGCACTTGGGTGTGTAAAGCCATCGATTCAAAGCGCTGCCTCGTTATGGTGTGTGTGTGGCAGATATTGTTGCTGCTGTTGCTATAGTTGCTGTCGCTGTTGCTGCTGCTGCTGCTGTTTTAGCCAACAATAATAAAGCAAGCGCCATGTTTAAATGGAGCACAAACCGATGACACACACACACACACACACGTTGGATAACTGCATGTGTGTGTGTGTCTGTGTGTGTGTTTGTTCATTATTTGTTGCTCTTTTCTCCGTTGCCACTGCTGCTGCTGCTGCTGTTGCTGCTGTTGCTGCCATTGCCGGCACACGTATTCCCGCTGGACAAACAGACAAGCCAAGCGGCGGCATAGAACATCATCATCAGACTAGACCGAAGCGAAACCCCCAAACGCCCTACACTCAGCGAAAATGCTAACGCACATCAAGCACAAATGTTGTCAAGAGGTCGAAATCTTTTGTGTATTTCGAGCGAAGAATGTTTAAATAAGAAATGAATCATTTTGAAACAAGTCCCACTCTTAAAACAAATTCTTGATTGCTTGAAGTAAGCCTTTTGGTGCTTATTTTAAGTATACTAAAACAACAGCAGATACAATAATTGCAAAGTCAAAAGTTTGCAGTGAAATCTTTGCTTGTAAAAAGAATTTTATTTATATAAAAATAATATTTTTGGAGATAAGTTTTTTAAATTAAAAATGATTTCAACTTATCAAAAAGTACCCAAGAAATAATCGCAATTGAAATTTGAAGAGCAAACCGCTTGTAATTCTAACAAGTTCGAACTACTGTTTTTCGCTGAGTGTAGGCACACACACACACACACAGAGACAGTGGAGCCATTGGGAGCAGCTTGCAGCCAGGCAGCTGGACGAGTGAGCCATGTGGCATGTTGTACGGTCTGGGTGCCGTTGTTGTTGTTGTTGCTGTTGTTGTTGTACCTGTTCGCTGCTCAAGTTTTGCTTGTGGCGTTCGCCCTCTCTCCCCTTCTCCCTTTCTAGCCCTACCTCTACCTATCTCTCTCTCTCTCTCTCTCTCTCTCTATCTCTCTCGATGGCCAAGTCTCGATTTTAACCTCACTTCGGTTCGCACAACGAGGGGCTCCACTAACGGCACTGTGGAGGGCCAAAAACTTTATCACCAGTGCGCGCAGCTACACTTGCCTTCTCGCTCACACAAACGCTGTCCCTCTCTCTCCATCTCTTCCTCTCCCTGTCTCTCCCTCTCTTTATGTATGACAAGTACACTGCTGCAGTGCGTTCACTGCTGGCGTCGCAGTCGCCTCGTTTACTGTCATTGTAGCCATGAAGCAGTCGCCTCCTTGCCACGCCCCTGACTCAGTGGCAGTGGCTCTCTAGTGTGTTGTATAATGTTCTAAAGGGAAATCGAGAGGCTGTGATAAGTTTGGGGGATCCGAAAATTGTCTTTCTGCCTCGAATGCTTGTTGTTGTTGCTCTTGTTGCTGTTGTTGCTGTTATTGTTGCTGGCATGCGAAACCCGGCGAGAACGAATTGGCCCTTTTGTGCGCATCAGAAACACGGCCCAAGTTGAGAGGCACCATCGAGGCACCAGCGCACAGTGACACCAATCTGGCTCAGGCATTGATGCATTCCCTTTGTACTTCTTTCACAAAAAGAATTCTTAATTAACTCACAATTATCATAATTAAGTTGGGAAACACCAAAGGCAGTTATTAAGTGCAATCTGTGAGTTATTACCAACTTTCCTATAAAACATATAAACATAGTTTTCTAGTGAACACAACTTCAACTTCAACTTTAATGTCAGCTTAGATCCTTCTAAACATGCCATTAGACTTCCACATTTTTTATTTTAAACTTAAGATCTTATAAAATGCTGTCAAGTTTTCCTTCTATTTTGGATATTCTGAGATCAACTTTGTTATACTGTAACTTTCCAGAAATTACCTTATTAAAAACGCCATTCGAAATCTTTTTTTTTAGGTTAAATACTTTATTTTTTGCTTAATTCTTTTTTGTCATTTAGTTAAACATTTATATTCATATATCATTTCTATTTAAAATTACTCTTTTTATAAATTACAATCAGTCTTAACATTTAAACCCAATACTTTCAATGAACACTGATCTCTTTAAATATTTCATTTATATATTTATAATAATTTGGTACCACTGTGCGGCTGAGCGAACGCCAAAGTGTCACATACTCAGACTCAAAACTTGTGGCGTTTGCTATCCAAGGCTATTCCTATAATGTACACACTCAACACCCAAACTCACGCCCACCGCCCACTCTCTCTCTCTCTTTCTCTCTCAGTGTCTCTGTCTCTGTCTGTCTCGCTGTTGTTGTCTCGCTCATATGCTATGACATTAATATGAGTTTTGCTGCTTATAGATTATATTTGTGTAAAGTTTTATGTTGCAATATTTCGGTTGTGTTCGCTGCACACACTCAACTCAGGCAACGGGTTGCCGGGTGAGGGGGTGGAGGAGGTGGTGCTTGGTGGTTGTATGACAGTTTTGGTACGACAACAACGACGACGACGACGAAGACACATCCTTGGGGAGCAACCTGGGTGCGAATAAAAATTATACATTGCCATATAAGCAGCCGAGTCGAGTGGGAACAAAACTGACACAATATGCAGGCTGTCTGAGAGCGAGTAGGAGCCAACTGTGTGTGTGTGTGTGTGTGTGTGTGTGTAGCATGTTTATTGGTATGCTCATTGGGGAGCATCTTGAGACAGAGACAGAGACCGAGACCAGAGAAACCATCTTCTTGTTGCATAGCGAAGTTGCTCATTTTGCCATTATTATTCCGTTGTGTATCGAAAAATGAAACAAAAGTGAGTTATCGTCTATCCTCCTCTCTCGCATCAAGTGTGTAATGTGTGGTAAAATTATCAGGTGCAGAAAAAGCCTTTATATGTTGTAGCGAGTGGGTGGTTGGGGGTGGCGGGTGAGGGGGTGGTGCAAAACACCCGTGGGAACACACGAAAGGTGCGTAAAATTTTATGACAAAACTTCATTGCTTTCAGTGGCTTTGATTAGGGAATTGCATATAGTCGAACTGTATGTGTGTCTAGATGTGTGTGTGTGTGTGTAGATGTGTGTGTGTTTAAGTGTGTGTGCGTGTGCTTGTGTGTTATGGCTTTTGCCTTGATGTTGTCTGCTATTTTGACAAATGGTATGACAAATTTTTGATGGGGTCAGCGGCCATAACTGTATATTGATTAATGATTATCTCGATTGCGGGACTCTTGCCTTAAATTAATCGATAAATTGTGTGGACTATGTTTTTGTTTGCTAAGCTGGAAATGTCTTGCGAAATTATCAACTGTTTTTGAGTCAGTGTTAAATATAAACTAATCGTTAGTTTATCTAAGTAATAATTACTTTTATCGGTTTCAACTATGAATTACTGATTGCAGCTTTTGGCAAGCTTTTATTTATTAACTAATCGATTGTTTTGCAATTAAATGTTATCGATTTCAATTATGTTCCCAAAATAAAGCAATAATGCGAAATTATTGACTGTTTCCTCCCGATAAAGTGCTATTCATAGATTCGTTAATTAGTTGGTATTAGTTACTAGTAAAATTCCTAAAAAAAATACTCAAATATTTTGCTATCAATTTGAATTATGATTGTATGTGAAGCCAAATACTGATTAAAACATATTCACTTCGAATCACTCAAGAACTATATGTCTAAAAAGAATGCCATGTCAGGCTATGTGTTATCGATAGTGTACTTATCGATTATTAAAGAGTCGTTCTACTTGAGCAATCAAAACAAGAGCAAGCAACTGCAGCACTATTTCGTGCAGTGCACAAGTCATTTATCGCCTCGTTAATTGCATCAGAGACATATTGAAGCCAATCCGAAACCAATACACCCCTCAACCATCACCACTGCTCCCCTGCTCCCCTGTGAGCCTCGATTACGACGCCGTTGACGTTTTATTATTATAGGAAAAGATATATATATATATATATATATATAGAGTCATATCATATCGTATCGCTTCGCTGGTTATTTTCTTTCTGTTTTTGTTGTTTGTATTTTTGTATTTTGCTTGCAATAATTTTCAAACAGAGAAACACACAAAAAGCATTTGCGCAACAAATCCCAAAGGAATAGGTTGTGCAGGGAGCGGGCATGGGAAAGCAAAGGAGCAGCGCCGGCAAACGAATCGAATTAAGAGCGAGTCACACACAAACTCACACACAGAGAGAGAGAGACAGAGAGAGAGAGAGAGAGAGAGACAGAGAGAGAGTGGGAGGTGGGAGGTGGCGGGCACAGAAGCGTCTAGCTGGCAGTTCTCCAGTTAACTCCCCTAGCTCCCTGAATCCCATCTCCATCTCCAACGCCCCCTCCTCCACCTCCGCTTCCTCCTCCCCCAACTCCATTTACTCTTTCTGTGTCTTTGCTCGACCTACTCCTGGGGGAGCAGTGAGCCGGCGGCGACGGCCGCTTCAGCCGCCTCCCTGGGGACGCTGCGCTGGCGCAGTGTGGATGGATGGATGGACTCTAGGAGTCCGCGCCCCGGTTCATATTGCAGTGTCCAAGTCAAGTTTTTGTTGCTGTTGTTACTGGGTTTGGGCTTTGGTTCGGGATCTGGACCTGGTTTTGGAGCTGCTTTGTTTTTGTTGTTGTTGTTGTAGACATCGCTTGGGGAAATTTACGCGAGTGGTCTGCAGTCGCTGCACCAGCAGCAGCCTACATATGTGGGCGTGGCACAGCAACAATAACGGTAACAACATCAAAGCTCTTCTGCTATTCCTCCTCGTCCTCCTCGTAGTTGGCATCCATAAAAATGAGCATGGCTCGCCTAATGGCCGCAAGATGGCGCTGCTGCAGTCATATGCAAATTTCGTTCGACACACACACTCACACACACACACACACACACATACGCACACACACACAATCGCATTCGCATTCGCTTCATTAACATGACGAGCGCGCAAAGATGCGAGCCATAAAATTAGCCCAGGCGACTGTCGATGCTGATGAATGCAACCAACACACACACACACACACAGACATCCTCCTCCTCCTGCTCCTGCTTCTGCTCCTGCTGCTCCCTACCTCCCCCTACACACTGCACCACCCATAAAAGCGCAATGAGCGTCGGTGTGCGGCGTCGAAAAATTTGCAAAACTCAAAGCAACAATTCGACGAAAGCCAATTTTAGCAGCAGCCCACAAAGAGTCCAAGTAAGAGTGCTCTAGTTGCGATGGGAGTACACGACTAGAAGATACCATATACTATTTTTGAAGTTAGATATATATAGTATATAGAAATTTATCAACTATTCAGATTGGTCTTCCCTGTGATATACTCAAAAAAGAGGTGTTTTTATATAAGAACTCACTTATCGCTATCGATGATGACTAGATATGATATATGTCATAGTTATCCGATTCTGTAAGGATATTAAGCTTTAAAGATCAAGCGTAAGCGAAACTTGTTAATTAAAGATATGCTCACAACTTATGCGCTCGAAGAACTATTCCCACTTATTACACCCTTTCTACGCCAAATTTAATGGGTATAGAACATAAGAGAGAGAGTGAGAAGGCAAAAGAGAGAGGGACTGAGTGTTAGACCGCAGCTAAAGAAGACAGCGCACAAAGGGGGCGGGGGGAGGGAGAGTAACAGGGGTCATACAGGGGGACACAGGCCATACGGCTCCCCATAGAGCGCATGTTGAATAATCATCTACAGCGAGGCAGCACGCAGAGAAGAGGAGGGTTGGCAAGAGGAGGGGGGACGCTAGGAACGAGAGCATGTCAAAGTCGCCAAACGTTGCACTTGCGTTTTTGGCATGTGTTTCCAGCTTGTTCGTCTGTGTCTGTGTGTGTGTGTGTGTCTCTGTGTGTGTGTGTGCTGGTTTCTGCCGCCGGCTGTCGCTAGATGGCGCTCGGCGCACGTGCAACAGCAACATGCCACACGCACACACAGCATCACACACACACACACACTTTTGCAGAGAAATTCGTAAAATTTTGTTTCCGCTGATGAAGTATTCCCCAGTTGCAGGACAAGGATTATTGGACGTGTGGCAACGTCCGTTCTATGCAACCCCCCTCCCAACCGCCTTGCCACTCCGCTTCTTGTCAGCTTATGCGCGTATATGCAAAGTGTGGCATAAAAGCACACATCGTCAAATACGTCAAGCAAACATATTGGCCAACATATTGGCGCCATCAAAGAAACGCTGCAGCGCTTAGAATGTTGCAAGTGGGCTGGCCGAGCCAGGTATGCAACACCCTGTTGCCGAAAATTTCATTTTGTCATTAGAAACTAATAAAAACGCATCTCAAAATGTATTTCGGGTTTTATGTTTGTGATTTTCCATTTGGCTCCAAATTAGTTTCGGGTCTGCATCATTTCGCATAAAGTGCAGCAAGTATAAAGCGAAAGGAACCAACATCAAATAGTATCGTAAAGTTTGATTTGGGATTATAGATAGATAAATCTGACTTAAACCTCGTAAATCTTGAGGTTGGTAGAAGTACAGATGAACTAGTTGGCAAATATAGGAAATCATTGTGCCAATAAACTAGTAATATTAATAATAGAATAGAAATGATAATAGTAGAATAATGATTATATTGAGCATATCCTTACATCCTTGCCACATAATCAAATTGTTGCATTTTCGTTTAATAACTTTATTAAAACAAAGACAGATTCCTCAAAAAACCAATGGCACTTGGGATAAATTTACCTTTAAATAAAATCTGATATAATACCCAACTATGAAATGGTATTAGATGGTTAGATATATGACCGCAACATAGTTTATGCTTAGGTTCATATAGATACAGATAAGCTCAGGATTAACAAGTGCAAGTATCCCCTATAATAAAAAAAAACTACTTCCAAGTTGAATTATAAAAACAAATTATTGTATAAATAAAAATAGTATAATAATGATTATAACTAGCTATGCCTACTCGGCTTTAAATCATTACTACATTGTGACATATTCAGTTAATAAGTTCATTGAGACAGATTCCTTAAAGACTCAATTCACAAGTTGTCGTCACAGAGATATTCGCTATTTACTTGCAAATGCCTTCCACAACACACCATTGACATCTAAACCTAATTTGTCAACTGAATGAGCTGCCGCAGCCAGACAGTCAGCAGCTGCGACTGAGTTATTTACACCCCCTACACACACACACACACATATACACGCACACACACACACTGAGAACCAGTCAACGTCCAGACAAAGACGCGTCAAACGTTGCGTATGAGTAATGCAAAGAAAATGTTGCGAGCGTCGCATTCCACACGTCATAGACGCAGACGGGTTCGAATTCCCCCCCTTCCCACCACAAACCCCTTAACTGCTAACAGCCACAACACGTGCTAGCCAAAAACAGCTGTTCATCACACAGAGAGAGAGAGAGAGAGGGAGAGTGAGAGAGAGAGAGAGAGCAACGGAAAGAGAGCGCATAACTAAAACCAAAACAAGTTTCGCTCTTAGCTGCAGTTGAAGGACTTTTGCGAGGCGTCTGCGCATTCTCAGCACTCGCTCTTAAATGCTCTTAAGACAACAATCAAAGGCAGCTCAAAGGAGGGGGAGGGGAAGGTTGTGGGAGGTCGGGTGGTGGGTGGGGGTCCAATTGGGGATTAGGGGGTTTGGTTTCGCATTGGGTCGGTAGCGCAGCTGGCTTTGCTTGGGCATGGAATTATGGCACCCAGGGGCATAGCATAATCAAAATTCCTTGCATCTGGGGACGTGGCATGCAGCTAGCGGCTGTGGAACGTGCCGCAGTTCAAATGCTGCAGCTTCCACTGCAACTACAACTAAATAACTGTGTGTTTGCCTCGTCTTCTTCTTCGTCTACTTACAGGCAACATAAATGCTCCTCAAGACAAGGACATGGAGAATGTTGTTGAGCCAACTGACGACGACGACGAGCTGGACGAGGAGGATGAGGAGCTGGAGGATGACCTGGCGGATGATTTGCTTAGCCTCAGCGGCGATGAGGACTACGATGATGAGGAGCTGCAAAGTCTCGACAGTTTCTATTCCGGTGAGTTTGCTCAAAGCCATTTTGCCACATGTGAATAAAGTTAAAGAAATATTTTAAGTTAAAAATTCCTTATCATTTCTCATACATTATTCGAGCATGAAATATTAATGCTTAATCTTAAAATTAAGCAAGTAAATGTTGAAAATGATTAAGTATCATAACTCTATCAAATGAAGTCCAATCTTGAAAAGCTTTAGCTTTTTGAACTCGTGGAAGTCCCTAGAATCGGCTACTATCAAACGCTGTCAGCGTAAAAATCAAACACTTTTTCTTAAATAATTATACTCCAATACAGCTTTTTGATAAAGAAGTTTTTAGTGCTTGAAGATCTCTTATAATTTACTAGAAGCGATGAAGAAAATGAAATATGAATTTTAATTCTGCTGCCAATTTTCTCAGCTTGATAACTGAGATGAGCTGTTAGCATAAAAAGCATTTTTACATTTACTTTGATAAGACATAAAAAACATTTATGTTTAGATGAGGGTGGACCATAATTGTCGCAGCCACTCAGCCACCCTACTCCGACTCCCACTCCCACTCTGACTCTGACTCTGACTCTGACTCCTATTCCGGTGCTGGCTCTGGTTGTGGCTCCTACTGTTGCTCGAGCTGCTGTTGTTGCCACTGTTGCCGCTGCTCCTTTAGCTGTATGCGTGTGCCTTGTTGTTGCTGTTGCTGTTGCTATAACCATTGAAATTGCCGTATGGGGTGTTATATGGCAGCTGGCGACGACACTCCTGGGTGCTCTACACCTGTGCCGCGGGTGTCGTTTCATATGCTGCACGACCAGCCGGGGGGGCTGGCCTAACTACGTTTTAAAAACCCCAAACAGCAATCAACACCAAGTCGGAGTCGCACTCTCTATTCTATACTCTACACACACACATATATATACACATATATATATATATATATATATATGTATACCACAGATAGCTGGGCAGAGGCCACTTCACTTCACTTTCACCACATACATCCTCATCGTTGCCATTTACGAGCTGTCGAACAAGCGCCAGGCGAGACAGAGACGAGAGACGGGCGAGGACAGACAGGGAGACAGAAGCATCATGAGCTACGGTCGGAGCATACTTCCTGCTCTCCCCTTTCCTCTTTCTCTCTCTCTATCTCTCGCTCCTTTGCCACATTTCTCTCTAGTGCCATTTCGCATGCTTTTTCTGTGTTTCATTTTTAGCCTCTTGTTGTTGTTGTTATTCTTCCTGTATTTTTCTTTATTTTTTGCCAGACTTTCCTGGTTTGCTTGTGCTTTTTTGTTTTTGTTGCTTGCTTGTCGTTGTCGACTGTCCAACATCCAAGCACATTCACACATTCAAACATTCACATTCACACACACATTCATTCAGTTTGAACTGAACTTGGCTGACTGCTTGGGCATAACTCGACTCAACTAAGTTGCTGGCGCTGGTTTAATGTCTTCACAGTGCTGCCTTATGCTCGAGTACACTGAGCGAAATGTATAATGAGAAGCTCAGCATAAAAAACTTGCCATTTGCAGCTGATTAAATTATTTAGTTTAGTTTTTTATTAGTTGTATTTAAATCAGTTCCTTAGAAATTAATTGCATTCTCGGCTTAGCTGATTTTCCAGTTCAACATTTGCTGTTTTTGGTTAGTAAGATTTCTTTTTGCACAGTGTATGCATGAAGTTTTGTATTAAGATACTAATAATGGCATTTCCTGTATTAGTTGCCTCCAGCACCTTCTCAAAAGTGATGTTTCCATTTGTATTCCACACTTTCATCGCATTTCTCACAGTGCACACACTTAGTTAACCTACCACAGCACTCAACACTTGGTCCAGTCTCCCCGCCCACCCACCTCAACTTGAGTTGAGACATCCTTTTCGGTTCGGCTCTGCCCAGTTTCATTTCTTTGGCTTTTGGCTGCGGAGAAGCTGCGGCACTTGTGTGGTTGGCTCCATGGAAATCTCTATGGCTCGATGGCTCTGTGGCACGGTGGCACGTTGGCACGGTGGCACGCTGGTTGCTCCATGGCTATTTGGCTACAATTTTGAAACGTTTTACGGCTTTTGCGTTGAGATTTGAAGAAATTGCGGTGTGAAATTTGTTGTTTTTATTTGGGTTGCAGCTGCGCCTAAATGTATGCAATGAAATGCAATTAGTTGCAGTCAAGCAGACAGCGCCACAAGGGGGTAAGGGGCAGTTCCTTGAGCTTGCCTCTCTCTCTCTCTCTGTCTATCTCTTTCTCTTTCTCTTTTGTGAAAGTTTACCCAAGTCATTTCATTTGTTTGCATTTGCCTTGGACTTCCGGTCTAAAACTCTGAGAGCCTTGTGTCCTTTTGATTTATTAATAGCACGTGTCTCCCCCAAGCCAGTGTACCTCTCTCTCTCTCTCTCTCTCTCTCATCTCCTCTCTCTCTCTCTCTGTCTCTGACTCTTTCTATGGTTTTAAATAGTGACAAGCTGGATGGGAGTTTTTAAGACACTGGTGTATGCAAATAGTTAGTTAGCTAGTTCCGCTACAAGTTTCCTTTTGATGCGACGCAATTAATTACACATTTGTCTTACAAGACAAACAAACATGGAAAACAACAACAATAACAACAAAAATTGTTGCAAAAAGCGCCTTCTTACATGTCCGCGTCTAAGACCATAAATAATTGCTGCTGTCTCCGACATAAAAAGGGGTTTTTACTCTTTACAATTTCATTGGACCAACCATGCCCTGTAACATCGCCTGCTGAAATGGGGTTTTATAGACTAGTGGAAATGTACATTTACTAAACTAAGAGACGTATATAATATATATATAACTTAAGAACGAATATTTATTGCTTTTGCTTAAGCAATTGATCCTAGATTGTAGTGATTATAATAGCCAAAGACTTCATATGTCCTTTTGCCTCCTTTTCATAGGAAGGAAGTCTGTGAAAAATGCATTGAGAATTATTAATTTTCTTGTATATACTATGAGTGCTTAAAGAGCATATCGTAACCACAATTTAGTTCTTAATAGATCTTCATAGATCTATATTATCTAGCTTAGTACAAACAACTCAATTTAACTCGCACTCTTTCTCAATTTATGTCTCTCCCTGTCTCTCTCTCTCTCTCTCTCTCTGTCTGTCTTCTTCACTCTGCTTACCTCTTTCTCTCATGCTGTCTTGCAGATTCTCTGTATCGGTCTTCCTCAAAGGTTCCCTCTCTCTCTCTCTGACTCTTGCTCTTTCTTTCTTTCTCTCTAAAACTCCCTCTCGCTCAATCTGTGTGTGGTTCTTCCTCTCCTTATTCCTATACCTCTCCCTCTCTCTCTCTTTCTCTTTGGCTCTCACTCCTTCGATCGCTCTTTTTCTCTCTCTGCCCGATCGCGTTACCTGCTAATTTCCACGACTATCTGCTATTCCCAGGGTATCTTGCCATCTCGCACTCCAAATCACAACTTAATTATTGTGTTTCTGTTGGTCTTGCAGTAGATTTGTGCTTAAAGTGCCAAAAATTCTCACAGGTTGGTCGTGTTGTCAGTTGAAGTCCGTTGCTTTCACAAGAAATGAACGCAAATTGCTTTAAGATTGAAATCTGTGGCTGGAAAAACTGGTCACTAAAAAGCCGTTTGCAGTAGATGCCAGTGAAACAGTTTAATGAACTGTTTGTGTGTGCTCAAAAAGGGCCGAGATCACGTTTAAGCCAAGATCTCAAAACAAATGCCGCTAAAAGAGACACACACACAACGAAAGCAGTAATTGTGAACTGGGTCAACACGCATCAAATGAAATCTATTGTGATATATATATCCATGGCAAATCTAAGCCCCAACCAAGAGTATTTATTTTTAGATTTCATATAAGTCATAAATAATAAGTGCCCAAAAAAAACAGAAAATACAAAAGAAATCAGCCAAGTTAAGTTTGCAATCTCAGGTGTGAAAACGCCTTGACACCAACAACAACAACAAAACAGCAGCCGGAAAAAAACATGAAAAAGTTGTTCCTTTCTTTTGAAAAGGGGTTGTAGAATGGGGTTGGAGGGGGTTGTTTCAGCTGCACTCTTCACGCTGTCAGCTGCAGTACTTTTTCAGCAATTTTTGAGCTCAAGTTTTGCTGCAGCAAAGCAGAAGCTGGTCTGTTTCCCGCGAGTCCTGGCCAAAAGGCTGCCTGACCATGTCCTGGGAATTGGGCGACTGGCATTCAGGCAAAAGTTATGACACGCCCAGCGTTTTGTTGTCTTTGTTGTTTTGTTTTTAGCTGCTTGCCACCTCTTGCATGATTTATGTGCGTTAGGTGTTTTGCCTGGCTGGCCAAGTTTCTGCCCAGTTTGTCTCCCAGGAGCAGCGGAGCAGGAGCAGCTCCTGCAGCAAAGAAAAAAACGATGGGGCGAAATTTTCTTTTTGCTCCTGCTCAAGACGTTCTCATTTCGCATAAAAGTCAGCGTACGTTTTACGATACACACACACATACTCGCACACATTTCGGGAATATTTCCACACACACACACATCCGCCAATTGGTTATCCTGCCACACCCCCTTTTTGGTGGCTCCCATGTGCATACTTTTGGTGCCACTTTCGCCGTTCGCTTGTCTTATGCGACTCCAAGGCACAATTTCGCGAACGCGTTACCCATTTTCCCTAGGGAAACACTTGGCAGTTTTTCGCACCCCCCTCAACTGCCGTACACCCCTCCCCCCACCCCCTAACCCCTAACCCATACTCCCCCTCCATACTCCTTACTCCATACATTTGCGTATGCTTCTTACTCTTGAAGATAAATTCTTGGTAATTTAAATGAAATACTCGCTGAAATGTTGCCGCATATGCGTTATTCTCTCTCCTTCTCTCTCTCTCTCTCCCTCTGTTTCTCTCTGTCTCTCGTTCTTTTCTTTGTTTTTGCCCGGCCTTAAAGGATTTAATTTGGACGTATTGTTATGGGTTATTTTTCGGTTGTTATTTCAGTAGCTTTTTAACGTATAAATCTTATGCATGTTATACATTATTGAGGGTGGTCCTGGGATGGGAGGTTTGAGG